CGTGACTTGGGGTTCATTCCGAAGACCATGAATTATGGATAACAGCTGACAAGCTGACTCGATTAGTCTACCCAAAAACCAGAACTTAACGATCCTAAGCAATGTAGTTGTACAACGGTTACCTGGTTACCTGGTTACCTGGTTACCTTGCTACCTTGCTACCTGGTTACCTGGTTACATGGTTACCTGGTTACCTGGCTACCCGGTTACCCGGTTACCTGGTTACCTGGTTACCTGGTTACCTGGTTACCTGGTTACCTGGCTACCCGGTTACCTGGTTACCTGGCTACCCGGTTACCTGGTTACTTTGCTACCTGGTTACCTTGCTACAGGTTGCATATCCCTTGTATGGTTACTGTGTCACATGGTTTGACTACTAGTACTTTGTAAAAGAGGCCAATACCATTGTCTTGTCAATTAGCATTTAGCCTTGAATAAAATGTATAATAAACCGCTGCTCCTTAAGCTTTACGCGGTAAAGTAAGGATTCTGTAATTGAATCTTACTGTCGTACAAAAGGAAATTTTCAGATTTCCACGGGCTCGGTAAGTCTTGAAGTCCTCGTTCGTTATACAAAAGGAATCGTTACACAAGAAGATGAAGGCTTACAGTTATAAAGTTATAATATACAAGAGTTATAGACGTGTCCATTCTTCCTTTTCTAAGGGGCTGTGGTCAAGATGACCACTGTAAGATAAACTTAAAGCATTATGTGCTTACTTCGGTAAAACTTTTGAATGTGGAAATTTAAAGTTAAACTTTTAGTTTTTTCTTCGCGTTTATGAAACCGATAATCCTTGGGAGTTGGTAGATATCACACTGCCATGAAAGGAATCAAATAATGGATGGTTACCCTTGTTATGAAAATGTTCCCAGGGTCCAGAAGTTGTACATTGCTTAGGTAACCAGGTAACCGAGTAACCGAGTAACCAGGTAACCAGGTAACCAGGTAACCAGGTAACCAGGTAACCAGGTAACCAGGTAAAATATGCACTAGGCAATACTGTACCATTGCAAAATTATGTGAGCCGCGCATACAAAATATACTTAATTGTATTGTAGCTTAGGTAGCTAAGCAGCCCCCTTATATTATGCAATGTTAGTGTTTTGCCCCCCCCCCCCCCCCCAATGTTAGTGTTTTGCGCGCACAGGTAACAGAACGCGTGGAAACTAGTAGTGTTACCATGGTAACAGAACGCGTGGAAAGTTTATCCAAATTATAATCATCTTTTTTTCAGTGTGGCGGATAGATGGCAGATTCTGGACTACATTAACAACAGCAGGTAACTATGGCAAAGTTATTCTCATGTAGTATCGTGTAGCAGGTAACTAAAAATACAAAAGCAACGTTTAAATGCAGTGGATGTAAAATTGCACTTTTTACCAATTTCAAAACTGTTTCGTATCATTCGTGATTCAGTGTTATTCGCACTTTTCTCTATTTTACGAAATTTGCAAATTTTGTGACACAACTCTGCATAATTTGTGTCAATTATGTAATAGATCTGAAATGTATGGAAGCGTTTTGTAAAACATTTCCCTTGAACGTTTTTTATTATTCTTTGACATACGTTGCATGCCACTTTCCGCCACAACGTGTATCAAATTATTCTAAACTGAACAATCATGTGACTTGTGTGAGGCACGTTAACTTGGTAATTATGGCAACGTTATTAATATTATAAACAGAGCATCATGTCTGATTGAAGAAAATTCTTCAAACTTTGCCGCACATTTTGCGAAGAATGTTGCAATCAAGCCCCAATAATTGCTATATTTTCCGCACAGCTCACTCTTGCTGCACATAAAGCAAATGTAGGCAAATGCAGAATCACATTATTCGCAAACTTTTACCGCACATATTATTGCATTTGGACAGGAAGGGCCGGAAACAGACAATGTTAGAATCCTTCGTAAATAAACTATTGAGAGCCTCAAATTATTTGTTGTATATACTTATATAAGTATATGTTGTCTTTCGGTGACTAAAACAACACTACTACAATGTATAGTGTATTATACTGTATATATATCAGCGTAATTAATATATTAGTTATGCTATTGCTAACATCGATCTAAGATAGCAATGCTTTAACTCCATGCACCAGCATCAGTGCCCGATATAGTAGAAAAGGGCTACTTTTCTGCTACAGATTTGGCGCCCCAACAAATCATTGAACAGAATAGTATAATATAAAAGGATTCTGAATATGAATAGGGCCTTGTTAGCAACGTCCTATACAAATGCGTTACCATGGTTACAAGAGTCCTATACAAATGCGTGTTTTAAATATTGACTGCAGAGAATCCCTGTAACAGCATCTGCTAATAAGGACCTACTTGTTCATGTACTATAATCTTATAATGGTAACCAGGTAACCAGGTAACCAGGTAACCAGGTAACCAGGTAACCAGGTAACCAGGTAACCAGGTAACCAGGTAACCAAGTAACCAGGTAACCAGGTAACCAGGTAACCAGGTAACCAGGTAACCAAGTAACCAGGTAACCAGGTAACCAGGTAACCAAGTAACCAGGTAACCAAGTAACCAGGTAACCAGGTAACCAGGTAACCAGGTAACCAGGTAACCAGGTAACCAGGTAACCTACTTGTTCATGTACTATAATGGGCTCAAAGATTTGTTAAGTGGGTCCGTTGTGTCACATGGTTTGACTACTTATAAATAATATAACGTTAATATAACGTTGTACCTTTTTTACTTGCCTGAATTCCACAAAATTTTCAAAATATTTTAACAAAATTGTATTTTCAAAGCCTCTTCGATATGCAAATCAACTTTAAACATAATATTATAACAAAACCTCTCTTAACATATGATTACATAGCACTAGCCCCACACTGAATGTCAGAAAGGGAAACATTGTTTTAAAATGCTCAGATGCTTATTAGCTTATTGCATATGACAGAAATCTAGGGAATAAGTTTGTAAGGTTGGAATAATCTAAAATGATGTCCATTCCATTATATTTCTGGTTCTAGGTTTGATCAAATCTACTGAAGTGACCAGACTATCCCACGAATCATGTTTTTCTGTGATTTGAGATTTGAGATTACAGAACCACTCTACCAGTGGTTCTGATACCTAATTGTGTTATTAACTACTTAAGTACAATTATTGTGGTGTCAACAAAAACTCCGAAAGGTTGAAGCACGAACATGCGATTTAGAAACATAGTTGCAGATTTAAAACTGACCAAGTACAGACAAAATAAAAAACCACAAACAAGGTAGTGGTGACACCATGCACTATCACCATGGTGACACCATGCACTCTAGTAAAGTAGTAAACAAGTTCCCACCGTCGCGCCTACCTTTAGTAGTCTCCACAAAGTTGTCAGATTAAATTAATTGCAAAGAACAATTGGACTGTCTATCGTTTATTTTTCTCTAACAAAACTTGCTGATACTTTCTGTAGTCTGTAGTTTCTGTATCCCCCCCCCCCCCTTTCTGTTATAGTCCTGCAACATTCCACGAACGTACTCTCATGGAAATTTCACGTGCGACAGGTTGCTAGGTGACAGTTGGTTGCTAGGTGACACTTGTTTCCCGATACTACTCAAGTCAGGTTGCTAGGTGACAGAATGCTGACAGTTTAACTGTTTAAGAAATATAAAGTCTGAAAGAGAACGTTTAGCGTGTCCGCATAGTGAGGAGCGTTCAACGTTAACCTGGTAACTATGGCAACGTTAACCTGGTAACTTTGGCAACGGTAACCTGGTAACTATGGCAACGTTAACCTGGTAACTATGGCAACGTTAACCTGGTAACTATGGCAACGTTAACTTGTTTCACTTAATAACCTGAATCTTAAAGTCGCCGTTGTGAACAGCGCTATCATTATAACAATATGTTATTATGAGAGATGAGACCCTACAAGTACTTCACCTGGCACTAAACTGCATTCCGACTGGATTCCTCTCTTTCACAATAGTGAGAGAGAAAGAAGTCTGTTTAGCTTAGTCTTATAAAAGACTAACACCAGAAGAAGGTTGCTTTAATTGTTGGTGCTTACTAATCACCAAATATTTCGTAGCTTCTCGTCATATATTATACTCGTCACCATAGCAACCTCTCGTCATATATTATACTCGTCACCATAGCAACCTCTCGTCATATATTATACTCGTCACCTCAAATGAATAAAATATAAATACAACTGTATACTAAACTGTATAGTGTTTAACTATATAATAATATATATTGCCTGCGAGGAATGCCGTATTTTAAAATTCTAAAATTGGCTTCATTCTCCTTGAATAAATCAAACAGCCTGAAACTCTGCTGGTAATATCGAAGAATTTTAGGAGACAATTTTAAAATAATATTCTCTTTAGAATTCTTAATTCGCACGCTTGTTAGGATTCAGCTTATTGCACCTCGTTACCATGGTAGCAACCTCTCTTGAGTCTCTTCAGCTTATCATCGAGTTTCTCCTCTTTACTTCCACTGCCAAGACTCTCTAACAGCGTTTAACTGATATCATGCATGGAGCACGTGGTGTCTGGTAACCTAGTGACCAGTATTAGTAACCTAGTAACCAGTATCACCTAGAAACCACGTGCTGTCTGGATTAACAATACCTGAGATCACACATAACATCTACAGCTTGACTAAAATCTGTGAAGTTATATCACGGAATTTACGGTATATCCTCAGACGATAACGTCACGTCACGTGATCAAACATCCCTCCCTCCCTCCTCCCTCTCTCCCTCCCTCCCTCCCTCCCTCCCTCCCAGTCTTCACTAAGATATTAGATAACATCTCATTATCTGGACTGATTTGAAATCAGCCACCCATTATGTGTTCCAGCCAGCTGGACACGAAACTACCGGGTAATTGAGGAGTACTTGGGTCCATTAAAAGGCTGGTATTTTCTAGAAGTTACGTAGGCACAGTAGCTGGCGTACTTTTCAACGCCTTGTCAGGCCGCGTTGCTAGGCAACATTAACTCCAATATCTAACTGTGTCGTCACTTCCATTCTATCAGTGTTTATTCAGGGTTAGGTTCTTCTTTATTGTGGGCTTCAAGGCCAACTCTCTAATAATTAAAGAAGAAACAGTAGTTGAAACACTGACAGTAGTCACACAGAAGTCAGCACTTCCAGCTCCCCAGGTATTATACAGAATATCAGACCGCTAGAAATAATAAATATTGCCAGCGCTTACACACAGCTATACAACTTGTCAACACCACCAGTCAGCTCCAGATTCCAAAACTCGGGCTCGTATCCGACCTCACTTTCTCCCGCCTGAATCTTATTTACTTGCTCCGCTCCTTCACCTCTTGTTGCTTGGTTACCGATCTTGTTGCTTAGTTACCGTTCTTGTTGATACGTTTTTATTGCTCAGTTACAAGTATCGTTAACTGGTGTTTTGTAACGAGTGAGCTGCGAGATCCCACAAAATCTCAGAGATCAGGGACTCTTGTAACCATGGTAACCATGACTCGCGGTTAATGACGGAGGAGGAAAGCACGCAACATGTGGTAGTATTTGCACGGCGGTTCTCAGTAAACTCCCTGAGCTCACCACCATGTGTAGTAGCGACCCCTCCCACCCTCCCTCCCCTTCAAGTAGCTACAATACCACTAAAGGACCCAATATCAGTGGAATTAGTGAACATAAACAGGCTCTACTCATCCAGTGATTTACAGAAGAGGAGAGAGGACTTTAGGAGGAAGTATGAGACTAAAGGCCTGGCTATAGATGTTGATGTTTGTAAGTTAAACCCTCCCCCTCCTCCTCCTAAAGAAGATGGCTTCAAGCCTAAGAAATCCTCGGCTCACAGTAGCAAGAGAATGTCACAGACTATTTCATTTGACGAGTACGGCAGAGTAATCCGTCAGGAGTTTGTGCAGTCAGAATCAGCTGTATCCGAGGACTCCTCTGTGTATGACGAAGATGATGATCCTTTTAACGACGACTTTGATTTCGGAGATGCGTTCAGACTGTCAGAATCACCAGAACCTCAGGATAAGGAATGCCAGACCCACTTTGTAAATCTCACAATATCAGTGCTGACCCAGACGCCTACTAACGATCTGTCCACCACGTCGTGTCAGACTGCTAAAATAAAACAGGTTGACAGCGGTATCCAGGTGGATCCTCCTCCACAGAACGATCTGAACAAGTTTCCTAACATTGTAGTTACCCCTCCAGCTGGCAAACTCAACAACTTCATCGTCAAACCCCCCTCTATATTCGCTCACAAAACTGATTCTACCGGACAAAACTCCTTCACCCCTCAAAAGAACGAGGCTGTAGGTGGTAATGGGAAAAAGAGTCGCCTTAAAAAGATGGTCAGTGACTTTCACTCTAAGTACGTGGACAAAACCACCCCTGAGAAGCAACTCAATCATAATAATGTAGATAAACCTTCTAAACCGACCGATCTTCCCAACAAGAAGTCTACTAAAAGTATCAAGCAGTTGTTCGAGTCGAAGAAGAAGAACGTCGAGACGAGTTCAAGCAAACTGGAGTTATCAGATAAACTGAAACACGAGCTGAGGAACTCTAAAACTAGTGTGAAGAATCAGATAGGTGCTATATCAGCAAAAGAGGAGGAGGAGATTCCTCTGCTGGAACAGCTGCTCAAAGAGATCGCTAACCTCCCTCTCTATAAACTCATAGAGTTTGAGAAGGGTTTTGTTAAAAGCATTACCGACCGAGAACTGCTGGAGATCGTGAAGACGCGGTTCAGAAACAAGAGTGACCAGCAACTGATTGATATTATGAAGGAGCTTGTCAAGAACATAGATGTAGACGATATGTACGATATCTTTGAACAATACGTCAACGAACGACCGTACAGCGAGTGCAAGATATTATCAATGAAGATCTGCGAGAACTTGCTAAACAAGAAGGACATGACAGAGCTGATGATGAGGAACTTCAGCTCAATGTCAGAGAACAACAAGAAAGTGTTGGCTACAAGTCTGCTGGAAGACCTCCCTTACGAGTCCATGAAGAAAGTGATAGAACTCCAGCTACCTAAACTGAAAGAGAAAGATATCCCGAACGTTCTGAACAACATACAGACAGATCCCAACAAGAGAGAGTTCGAGAAAGCTGTCAGTATCCTCTCCAGTAAGTTATCTGGAGACGAGACTCAGAAACTGATCCGGGATCTGGGAAGAGGGATGAAACACGAGGAGATATCTAAAGCTATAAAGCATTTGTTCGACTACCTCCCCAAGCGTGAGAGCGAGAGTTTAGCAAGACGTTATGTGGAGGTTAAGAAGGTAATGGTGGAAAGGTGGACTGAGACTAAAGCTATAGAAGTAAGAAGTAAGCTAGTGTCTAAACAAACGGGCACTGACCCTCCCAAGCAGGAGATCAAGGAAGCTAGGGCAGAGAAATCCAGGAAAGTAGTGGTTCTGCAGGGAGAGAGTTGGTTCGCTAACGACAGGAGATGTGTCAACAGGATGACCCAAACAGACGCGGTGAACAGACTGCTCTTCAAGGACAAGACAGACCTACAGAACGCAGCTGAAACCATGAACAAAGCAAAGAAGAGGTTCCTTGAGAAGTCTAAAGACACTAACAGCAGGTCTAAGAGAGAGGACGTAATGATCGGGGGCTCCAGGACCCCCACTCCCAACTCTCTAGCTCTCAGCTCAGTAGAGACTGATGGTTGTAGGAGGAGTAGTCCGGCCAGTCCCGCTCTTATGAGTCCGGGTCTGATGAGTCCTGGTCTGATGAGTCCTGGATTAATCAGTCCCTCTGTTACGAGTCCTGCTTCTGTCACTGTCTCTACCAGGTATATACACTCACATTTTATATAGAATATGATAGATATTATCTTTCAGTACCTAAAACTTTGGCTAATTCAGCACCGTCAAACCCTGATGTAAATCCCGTCTTAGTGGAATTCCAGCAGTTTGAGGCGTGGCTGTGATTAAAAACACTGTCATCCTTTATCATATCATAGTATGACCAGAACTGTACGGTGACCTAAACTAAATCTAGTTAACAGGGATGAACTGTGCGGTGACCTAAACTAAATCTAGTTAACTGGGATGAAATCAGGCTTTAAAATACACGAACTTTTGTGTGCAAGAGAAAATAAATGATATAGTGAATATCACTTCGGACCTACTGATGACTTAAAGTTAAAGTTTGACTGTAAAACAAGTAAAATATATTGCACGTGTAAAGATAAGCCCCCTCAAAATAAGAAACCGGGTTAGCAAACTTAAAGTGTCGACAAGTTAAATTACCAAACTTATTATATGTTTGTCAGGCAGGAACATATCAACAACTAAATAACATATTAACAAATAAATAACGTTACAATTTACGTATTACATTTATCTGCAAACAATCTGCAACAGCTGCTGTCAGAAACAACTATTTGTATTAGTTATTATTAGGGAAATTAACAATATTCCATAAAGTTCTAGGTAAATAACATATGTTTCATTTCAGAAAGAACCTTCTGGAAGAAATAGAACGATTGAAGCAAGAAAAGCATAGTATATACGATGGTGAGTTTGGACTATGAGCTTATAAGGAAGGTGCAGGCTTTTAATGTTGTAACTAAGCTGGCAGCATAGAGCTCAAGCTGGGAAACATGCTGTTTTTGGTTCTTTTGCGATAGTGTAATTGCGACAACTAGCGCTGGATGGCGACAACTAGCGCTATCCAAGTATCCAGTTGTCGCAATTACACTATCGCAAAAGAACCCTGTTTTTAAATGATAATCCTATGTTTAGATCATATTATGATGTAGTGTTACCATGGTAACAAACCATTTAAAGTCATGTGACCATGATAACATATATACCATATAAGGTAGTGTTACCATGGTAATACACCATAAAATATAGAACATTTCAGACTACCAAGAGTACTTCAATCTGGCTCTGGACCAGGAAGAAGAAATACATTACTTGGAGGATGAACTGGAACGAACTAAGCGACAAATAAACGTAAGTTACCATGGTAACTAATGCTTACTCTAATGAAAGAAAAAGCATGATTAGTGTTACTTTTAGACCAGGCAAGAAGTAAACAAAATGAAATTTTACTGCAAATAACACGCCGGAATGGAACACAAATTATTGAAGCTGCAACCAATATGTTTATCAGATACCTACATTATTTAGATATTTGAAACAATTGAAAGTTATTCGCTCTAATTCATCAAAGACACCGGGATGTGAGTTTAACGACAGGTTACATATACTGCTACTAGGTTACTAGCTGGTTACTAGGTTACTAGCTGGTTACTAGGTTACTAGCTGGTTACTAGGTTACTAGCTGGTTACTAGGTTACTAGCTGGTTACTAGGTTACTAACTGGTTATTATGTTACTAGCTGGTTACTAGGTTACTAGCTGGTTACTAGCTGGTTACTAGGTTACTAACTGGTTATCATGTTACTAGCTGGTCACTAGGTTACCAGCTGGTTACCAGGTTACTAACTGGTTCCTAGGCTACTAACTGGTTACTAAGTAACTAGCTGGTTACTAGGTTACTAACTGGTTACTATGTTACTAGCTGGTTACTAGATTACTAGCTGGTCACTAGGTTACCAGCTGGTTACTAGGTTACTAACTGGTTACTATGTTACTAGCTGGTCATTAGGTTACCAGCTGGTTACCAGGTTACTAGCTGGTCACCAGGTTACTAGCTGGTCACCAGGTTACTAGCTGGTCACTACGTTACTAGCTGGTCACCAGGTTACTAGCTGGTCACTAGGTTACTAGCTGGTCACCAGGTTACTAGCTGGTCACTAGGTTACTAGCTGGTCACCAGGTTACTAGCTGGTTACTAGGTTACTAGCTGGTCACTAGGTTACTAGCTGGTCACCAGGTTACTAGCTGGTCACTAAGTTACCAGCTGGTTACCAGGTTACTAGCTGGTTACTAGATTACTAGCTGGTTACTATGTTACCGGTGACTAATAACATTTCAGGATCAAGAACTGGAGCTACATTACCTGAAGGAGGAGCGAGAAGTGGCCTACAAGGACATCAGGGATCTGGAGGATGAACTAGCAGACTCCAGACTCATGGTAATGTCACGTGATTTAGCACGTGTTACTATGGTTACTTAGATTAGCACGTGGGTTACTATGAGCATAATAGGTCGGGTCAGCGTGTTCCTGTTAATACCCTCTTTTCAACAGGATCAAAGACCATGTCAATGAAACAAGGGGTTACAAATATTCCTGTCTCTTAGATTAATATTACCTTGTTGAATTACTGTATTAGAGCTGTTCAACAGTCCATTATTATATAGTCCTGAGATGGACGGTCAGTGCGCATGTCACGTGTTACTATGGTTACTTGTTCATAGTGCACATGTTTATAATTCGTAATGAAGCTACCTTGATGCTACTTCACAATGTGAATGAAGTTTCTTTGATGCATAATCAAGCTGCAATCATTAATTAAAATGCCCTCATTGTCGGCATTGGTTTAGGGAATTATGGAATTCTATAATTCCCCAAACCACGAAGACTGACAATGCAAGTATTTTAATTAAGGAATGAACGGTTACAATAAAGTAAATCCTCCATCCTTATTATTCATAACAAAAGCTTCGCAGAATGGCATATTAAAGGTATAGCATCTTCATGTTACCCACAATCCATCCATGATATTAACTATCCGCCCTACTAGTCGTAATAGAGTTAGAAAGTAATTGTTAGTAGATCAGGGTAGAATGCTGATAAGAATGGAACTAGGGGGAGGAAGGACTAGGAGGGCTAGAGAGGGGACTATGAGGTCAAGAGAGGGGACTAGGAGGGCTAGAGGGGTGACTAGGAGGGCTAGAGAGAGGGGACTAGGAGGGCTAGAGGGGGACTAGGAGGGCTAGAGAGTAGAGGGGGACTAGGAGGGCTAGAGGGGTGACTAGGAGGACTAGAGAGGGGACTAGGAGGACTAGAGGGGGAACTAGGAGGGCTAGAGGGGGAACTAGGAGGGCTAGAGAGGGGACTAAGAGGGCTAGAGGGGGGACTAGGAGGGCTAGAGGGGGGACTAGGAGGGCTAGAGAGTAGAGGGGGACTAGGAGGGCTAGAGGGGGGACTAGGAGGGCTAGAGGGGTGACTAGGAGGGCTAGAGGGGGGACTAGGAGGGCTAGAGGGGGGACTAGGAGGGCTAGAGGGTGACTAGGAGGACTAGAGGGGGAACTAGGAGGGCTAGAGGGGGACTAGGAGGGCTAGAGGGGGGACTAGGAGGGCTAGAGGGGGGACTAGGAGGGCTAGAGAGTAGAGGGGGACTAGGAGGGCTAGAGGGGGGACTAAGAGGGCTAGAGAGAGGGGACTAGGAGGGCTAGAGGGGGGACTAGGAGGGCTAGAGAGTAGAGGGGGACTAGGAGGGCTAGAGGAGGACTAGGAGGGCTAGAGGGGGGACTAGGAGGGCTAGAGGGGTGACTAGGAGGGCTAGAGGGGGGACTAGGAGGGCTAGAGGGGGGACTAGGAGGGCTAGAGGGGGGACTAGGAGGACTAGAGGGGGGACTAGGAGGGCTAGAGGGGGGACTAGGAGAGCTAGAGGGGGACTAGGAGGGCTAGAGGGGGGACTAGGAGAGCTAGAGGGGGACTAGGAGGGCTAGAGGGGGGACTAGAAGGGCTAGAGAGGGGACTATGAGGGCTAGAGGAGGGACTAGGAGGGATAGAGGGGGACTAGGAGGGCTAGAGGGGGACTAGGAGGGCTAGAGGGGGGACTAGGAGGGCTAGAGGGGCTAGGAGGGCTAGAGAGAGGGGACTAGGAGGGCTAGAGGGGGGGGACTAACCAATCATAATATTTATTGATATTGTTCGAGTATATGATTATCATTATATACTTTTATGTAATATCCCATTGAGGCCCTTGGGTGGCCCCCATCGCGGGTTTACTACTAGTAAGAAAAATATCAAAAGATTAAATCAATCTTCGTCGAACTTCCTTCACGGTAACAGTAGAAAGTGGATTTATCGGCCAACATTCTGTTAAATGAGAGATCCTTCCTCTGTTTAAGGGGGCCGGGGGGTCTTCCTCTATTTAAATTATCACAGCTGTTAGCAGTAGGATCAAATTAGCTCACATTTTTAGAGAAAAGTGATTTTTATCGTACGTGATTGGAAGATTCTGGCCGATTACCGACCGATTATCGGCACTAGGCCGGTAATCGGCACTAGAGCATTAGTCAAGTAATAAGCAAAACTGTAAAAGAGCAAGTATATATACTTGCTCTTTTACAGTTTTGCTTATTACTTGACTAATGCTCTAGTGCCGATTACCGGCCGATAATCGGTCGGTAATCGGCCTGCAAACCTTTTTTGAATAACCCTGTAAGTGTATATATACACTTACAGGGTTATTCAAAAAAGGTTTGCAGGTTTGGTTCTTAAATACCTTAATAGAGCCCGGCATTGCAGTGATTAATAATAATCTAGGAGGGATATAGGGGGGACTAGGAGGGCTAAAGGGGGGACTAGGAGGGCTAGAGACGGGACTAGGAGGGCTAGAGACGGGACTAGGAGGGCTAGAGAGGGGACTAGAAAGGCTAGAGGGGGGACTAGAAGGGCTAGAGGGGGGACTAGGAGGGCTAGAGAGGGGACTAGGAGGGCTAGAGAGGGGACTAGGAGGGCTAGAGAGGGGACTAGGAGGGCTAGAGGGGGGACTAGGAGGGCTAGAGAGGGGACTAGGAGGGCTAGAGAGGGGACTAGGAGGGCTAGAGAGGGGACTAGGAGGGCTAGAGAGGGGACTAGGAGGGCTAGAGGCGGGACTAGGAGGGCTAGAGGCGGGACTAGGAGGACTAGAGAGGGGACTAGGAGGGCTAGAGGGGGGACTAGGAGGGCTAGAGGGGGACTAGGAGGGCTAGAGGGGTGACTAGGAGGGCTAGAGGGGGGACTAGGAGTGCTAGAGGGGGATTAGTAGGGCTAGAGGGGGGACTAAGAGGGCTAGAGGGGGGACTAGGAGTGCTAGAGGGGGATTAGTAGGGCTAGAGAGGGGACTAGAAGGGCTAGAGGGGGACTAGGAGGGCTAGAGGGGGGTTAGGAGGGCTAGAGAGGGGACTAGGAGGGCTAGAGAGGAGACTAGGAGGGCTAGAGGGGGGACTAGGAGGGCTAGAGAGGGGACTAGGAGGGCTAGAGAGGGGACTAGGAGGGCTAGAGGGGGGACTAGGAGGGCTAGAGAGGGGACTAGGAGGGCTAGAGGGGTGACTAGGAGGGCTAGAGGGGGGACTAGGAGTGCTAGAGGGGGATTAGTAGGGCTAGAGGGGGGACTAAGAGGGCTAGAGGGGGGACTAGGAGTGCTAGAGGGGGATTAGTAGGGCTAGAGAGGGGACTAGAAGGGCTAGAGGGGGACTAGGAGGGCTAGAGGGGGGTTAGGAGGGCTAGAGAGGGGACTAGGAGGGCTAGAGAGGAGACTAGGAGGGCTAGAGGGGGGACTAGGAGGGCTAGAGAGGGGACTAGGAGGACTAGAGAGTAGAGGGGGACTAGGAGGGCTAGAGGGGGGACTATGAGGGCTAGAGGGGGACTAGGAGGGCTAGAGAGGGGACTAGGAGGGCTAGAGGGGGACTAGGAGGGCTAGAGAGGGGACTAGGAGGGCTAGAGGGGGGACTAGGAGGGCTAGAGAGGGGACTAGGAGGGCTAGAGAGGGGACTAGGAGGGCTAGAGGGGGGACTAAGAGGGCTAGAGAGGGGACTAGGAGGGCTAGAGAGGGGACTAGGAGGGCTAGAGGGGGACTAGGAGGGCTAGAGAGGGGGACTAGGAGGACTAGAGAGTAGAGGGGGACTAGGAGGGCTAGAGGGGGGACTATGAGGGCTAGAGGGGGACTAGGAGGGCTAGAGAGGGGACTAGGAGGGCTAGAGGGGGACTAGGAGGGCTAGAGAGGGGACTAGGAGGGCTAGAGGGGGGACTAAGAGGGCTAGAGAGGGGACTAGGAGGGCTAGAGAGGGGACTAGGAGGGCTAGAGGGGGGACTAGGAGGGCTAGAGAGGGGACTAGGAGGGCTAGAGAGGGGACTAGGAGGGCTAGAGGGGGGACTAAGAGGGCTAGAGAGGGGACTAGGAGGGCTAGAGAGGGGACTAGGAGGACTAGAGGGGGGACTAGGAGGGCTAGAGAGGGGGACTAGGAGGACTAGAGAGTAGAGGGGGACTAGGAGGGCTAGAGGGGGGACTATGAGGGCTAGAGGGGGACTAGGAGGGCTAGAGAGGGGACTAGGAGGGCTAGAGGGGGACTAGGAGGGCTAGAGAGGGGACTAGGAGGGCTAGAGGGGGGACTAAGAGGGCTAGAGAGGGGACTAGGAGGGCTAGAGAGGGGACTAGGAGGGCTAGAGGGGGGACTAGGAGGGCTAGAGAGGGGACTAGGAGGGCTAGAGAGGGGACTAGGAGGGCTAGAGGGGGGACTAAGAGGGCTAGAGAGGGGACTAGGAGGGCTAGAGAGGGGACTAGGAGGGCTAGAGAGGGGACTAGGAGGGCTAGAGGGGGGACTAAGAGGGCTAGAGAGGGGAGGGGGTTTAAAATAATAATATTGAATAAATAACTCCCTAGATTCACGATCTCCGTAACAGACCTCTGACAGTTCTCACCACTAATCAAGATGGAAAGAAAGTGAACATAGCCAACACAGACAGACTCACGAAGGAGCTGGAGAAATTCCAGGGTCTGGACGAGGAGCTGGCTTTACTGCAGGTAATATGGTTATTAGGTTACTAGCTGGTTACTAGGTTACTAGCTGGTTACTAGGTTACTGGCTGGTTACTAGGTTACTAGATGGTTACTAGGTTACTGCCTGGTTACTAGGTTACTGCCTGGTTACTAGGTTACTAGCTGGTTACTAGGTTACTGGCTGGTTACTAGGTTACTAGCTGGTTACTAGGTTACTAGCTGGTTACTAGGTTACTGGCTGGTTACTAGGTTACTGGCTGGTTACTAGGTTACTAGCTGGTTACTAGGTTACTGGCTGGTTACTAGGTTACTAGCTGGTTACTAGGTTATTCCAGGCTTTACTGCAGGTAATATTATTTAACATTTATAAAAAGTTGAAGTAATTAATATATTAATTATGTATTAAGTTTTGTCACATAATAATAGCTGTAATATTAAATAAAGATCTCTTAAATTTGATATTTATCTCCGTAATTTAGCTAATGACAAGAGTGAAGAGATATTGGCATAAACCTCAGTGAAGTTTTGACATTTAGTTGTTTGTTTTAGGGAAAGATAAGACTTGTTTAGAACTTTTATTAACGTTTTTAAAATAAAAAATTCAACCTCCTCATCCTCTTCATAAAGTTTGTATTTTAATCTTTACAAAAGAAACTTTTGTAAAAATTAAAACTTACGAGGACCCTCTGCTGCATTATAAAGTGCTTGTCACTATATAGTGTTGTCACTATATAGTGTTGTCACTATATAGTGTTGTCACTATATAGTGTGATTACCCCCTCTGCTGTTACCGAATATCGCACTACCATAACCAAATCTCCATCAGGAAGACTTCCTGTTGATGGAACAAAAGTGGCTTGCAGAGCAAAAAAGGAAGAAGTATTTCGAGGATCAAGCTCTGATAGAAGAAAAGAAGACGAAAGAGATATCTCAACAACTCTACATGATAATGACTAACGAGCTAACTCCTGCTAGTTTCAAGGTTGGGACCATACTTACTAGTTACCATGGTAACACTGCTAGTTACCATAGTAACACTACTAGTTACCATGGTAACACTGCTAGTTACCATAGTAACCTGCTAGTTAACATGGTAACACTGCTAGTTACCATGCTAGTTACCATGGTAACACTGCTAGTTACCATGGCAACACTGCTAGTTACCATGGCAACACTGCTAGTTACCATGGTAACACTGCTAGTTACCATGGCAACACTGCTAGTTACCATCGCAACACTGCTAGTTACCATGGCAACACTGCTAGTTACCATGGCAACACTGCTAGTTACCATGGCAACACTGCTAGTTACCATGGCAACACTGCTAGTTACCATGGCAACACTGCTAGTTACCATGGTAACACTGCTAGTTACCATAGTAACCTGCTAGTTAACATGGTAACACTGCTAGTTACCATGCTAGTTACCATGGTAACACTGCTAGTTACCATGGCAACACTGCTAGTTACCATGGCAACACTGCTAGTTACCATGGTAACACTGCTAGTTACCATGGCAACACTGCTAGTTACCATCGCAACACTGCTAGTTACCATCGCAACACTGCTAGTTACCATGGCAACACTGCTAGTTACCATGGCAACACTGCTAGTTACCATGGCAACACTGCTAGTTACCATGGCAACACTGCTAGTTACCATGGCAACACTGCTAGTTACCATGGCAACACTGCTAGTTACCATGGCAACACTGCTAGTTACCATGGCAACACTGCTAGTTACCATGGCAACACTGCTAGTTACCATGGCAACACTGCTAGTTACCATGGCAACACTGCTAGTTACCATGGCAACACTGCTAGTTACCATGGCAACACTGCTAGTTACCATGGCAACACTGCTAGTTACCATGGCAACACTGCTAGTTACCATGGCAACACTGCTAGTTACCATGGCAACACTGCTAGTTACCATGGCAACACTGCTAGTTACCATGGCAACACTGCTAGTTACCATGGCAACACTGCTAGTTACCATGGCAACACTGCTAGTTACCATAAAGCTTCCTTACTAATCAGCTCTATATAATGGTAAGTGTTATTACGTATTACGTATTAAATCTAATATTAATCCCATGAATAATTTAGCGATGCATCAACGAACAGTGTGCAAAAAGAAATGATAAGAAAAGGCTAATTCTAAATTATGCATCACACTTCACAGTGTCATGTTACCACAATTACTAGCGTAATAATTTGATGAGTCGATAAAAGAGACAAAACACTACAGAATACTGTACAGCATTTTCCTGTGTAGTTGAATGAAATCAAGATTTAAGTTGAGTAGTTGGAGCGGATACCGTTGCCTTTCTCGTTTAAAGCGAAAGGCGGTAAATCGCCGGTAAATTGTCGATAGGACGCTGGTAAAGTGCCGGTAAAGCAAATAATTAGGATTAACTATGATCTGGTCGTGTGTTGGAGATCATATCTTTGTTTGGAGATTTGCTGCTCGCTAGCGCTACCAAGCGTCTGATAAAGTAAACCATTATTAAGCCTCTGTTCAGGGAGGAGCCAGTTCTATGATAAAGTGAGGAGCTATGAACCATGAAATATATTTTATTGTTATTTGGAGCAATGAGTATTAGAGATAATACAGTGCAACATATCTTTCTTTGGATAAAGTAAACCATCAAGCTATGAAATATATTGTATTGTTATTTGGAGCAATGAGCATGGGATTAGTACAATTCACCTTAGTGTGCCTTATCTAACATACACCTCATAATTGCATATATCTAAACTACTCTTTGTGCCTCCCCCTTGTAACTACCAATCTTTAGACATTGATTATCTGACTAGACGAACACAATATTAAACTTTAAACTATAATTATAACTCCTTTGTTAAGTGTGTTATCACGTACAGAGGTCAATCTGTTGTATTGGTTCCCCGACAAATACAGTCTGAATATTAGAGATAATATAAGTATTAGAGATAATACAACATTTCCCCGGTACCCCGACAAATGCAGTCTCAATATTAGAGATAATATAAATATTAGAGATAATACAACATTTCCCCGGTACCCCGACAAATGCAGTCTGAATATTAGAGATAATATAAATATTAGAGATAATATAAATATTAGAGATAATATAAATATTAGAGATAATATAAATATTAGAGATAATACAACATTTCCCCGGTACCCCGACAAACAGGATTAAACAGGATTAAACATAAATTAAACAGGATTAAACAGGATTAAACATAAATTTGTCAATGAGAGCCCTAACACTCACGTCTTGACTATACATCAATATAATAGAAATAAATAAATAAATAATGTGCAAGAGTATTCTTAAAATAAAAATTTAAAAATCATAAAAATTTAACTTCGTCACATCTTTTGTTGAAAGAGAAACAAGTGCAAATAAAATAATTTAATTCCCATGAACATGTTCCAAAATGATATGATATGTTGATCGTAATATGAAATGAAATGAAGCCCGACTTGACCGTCACGTGTCCGCAGAGGAGTTCCGTTGAGGTGTAGCGGGGACTTTACAGCTGGACTTCAGCAGATCCTTCTTAGTGACTTCCTTCTTCGGGAAACGCCTGTTGTTTGCTCTCACCAAGAACCTCGCTGTCTCTCTTATGAGGCTGGTATCTGTGAATAGCCCCTCTAAGTTAGCGAAAAGACAGGTTTTGGCTCTCTGACTAAAGCGGTGTCGGTAGGAGGTGTTGGAGCAATATTTCATCTTTCCTAACTAGTTGTCAGTATAAACAACAACGTAACGTGAAAAAATCTACCTGCTCTCAACTTAAAACATTTTCTATGAACATAAGATCCCTTATTAAGAATATAGATCAACTACGTGATGATATTGAGACTTATGATAAGTATGATATATTGTGTTTTAACGAAACTAATTGCACTTTAGGGAAATTACCGAACGGAATAAACGACGTTACCTTAGATGGATTTCATGAACCATTTATCCAGGATCCAATTCGCCCATCTGGAAAAGGTGGGGGGCTAGCCACTTATGTACACAAACGTGTAGTCGATTATGATAAAATTGATATTTTCACTCCAAACCCTGAACCAACTAATACTAGTGGCGAATTCCAATTTATCAAGCTCCATCAGTGCAAAGGATACAACAGAACGAAAATAATTGGCAATGTTTACCGTTCTCCCGCTAGGAGACCTGAAGCGTTTCTAGAAATTTTCAAAAATACGCTGCACAACCTAGGGAGACACACCCGTAAACATATGACGCTTCATGGAGATTTCAACCTTGATTTACTGAAGCACAGCAGCAACCAAGCATGTCAGAACATTATAGATATTGCGTCCTCTTACGGTTTTATTCAAATTGTATCACGCCCAACTCGCCTAACGGACCATAGTGCCACGCTTATTGACCACATCTACACAAACAATCTTGAGGATACAATAAGCTGTAACGTCTTAACGACAGATATGTCTGATCACTTAGCAATAGTCACTACAATAAATCTTGATAACACGCCAACCAGCAGCTACCGCTCTGCGTCTAACTCACAAAATGTATCTCAAACTGAAACACGTAGATTTAACGACACCAACAATCAAAAATTCAGAGACTTAATTACAGATGAAAGTTGGTCAGAAATTTTTAACAATACCAATGATGCCAACGAACAGTTCAATAATTTAAATACGGCTTATAATAAGATTTACGAGTCTGCCTATCCCACAAAAAGACAATCACGAAGACAAAATGAACGTGTTAATCCGAAACCATGGATGCTGCCCTGGCTCGAAGAAGCTATAGAACGTAAAAATGAGTCATATTACGATTTTGTTAAGGAACCATCTGATAGTAACCGCAGTAAATATGACCGTCTGAAGAAGTTTTGTAATAAACACATCGATAAAGCTAAAAACAAGCACTTCAAAAAATTTTTTGAGCAAAACAAAGAAAATTCTAAGAAGCAGTGGCAAATGATAAACAGTCTTCTTAATAGGAAAAAATCTAAACCTACTTCAATTAAACTGACTGACGAAGACGGCTCAATCAGCACTCCGGCAGCTGTAGCAGAAAAATTTAACGATTACTTCTCAAACATCGCTCCTAAAATTAAGTCTGAAATTAGTAGTAGGACCACTTTTGATCCTGGTGGAACCCATAGCACACTTCGCAACGCCACTCCAAGTAGTATTTACTTAAAGCCAGTCACTGCCACAGAAATTCAGGACGTCATAAACCTGCTTAAGAATAAAGCCACACTAGACACTAAAATTGAACCTCTAAAAATCGCTAACAGCTGTCCCAGTTTTACTAGTGTACTAGCCCACGTTGTCAACAGTTCTTTTGAACAGGGGATCTTTCCACAGGCTTTGAAAGAAGCGAAGGTGGTCCCAATTCACAAAGGTGGATCTAAATCTGACATAAAAAATTACAGGCCAATATCTCTTCTTGCTTCTTTCTCTAAAGTATTTGAAAAGCTAATGCATAACCGAGTTATAAGTTTTTTAGATAAATACAGCATACTATGTGAAAACCAATACGGTTTTCGCCCGGGTAGGTCTTGTGAACATGCTCTTCTCAACGCAAAAGACACCATTCTTAATTCAATGTCCAAAAAGCAGGTAACTTTACTTCTTTTAATCGACTTCAGCAAAGCTTTCGACCTTGTGGATCATTCCATACTCTTGCGCAAGCTGGACCATTACGGCATAAGGGGTCAAGCCTTAAACTGGTTTAAGTCATATCTCACTAACAGGAAACAGTTTGTATCAATTGGCTCGTCAAAATCTTCAACCAACCAAATTTTATACGGCGTGCCTCAAGGGTCAATATTAGGACCTTTACTTTTTATAATCTACATAAACGACCTACCTCAAATATCAGATATAGCAAATTTCATTATGTACGCAGATGATGCCAACATCTTCCTGATAGGAGAAAATCTTAATGAAGTTTACGATAAACTAATAACTCTTAGCGATGCTTTAGTTAAATGGGTAGATA